ATATATATATGGATCTTTGGTTATTCGGGTTTTCTCCCACGTAAGATCCACATGCTAATACCCACGAGAACCTCAGAAAACACACACACACACTCACACACACACACACATATATATATAAACTTATATAACTTATATAACTATAAAACATAGCTCAGAAAATAGAAATACAACCACTTATGTGAGAAATGGCTATATAAACAATACAATTTACAGTCCAATCAAACGGAAGGGTTTTTGCTAGAATCACACTTTCTTTCTACAGGATCAACAAGATCTAAAGTCCATGAAGTTTGGCTAGATTTTATAGGATGCTTAAAAACCTCTGGAAATTTCTATAAAACAGAACTTTATGAGCCTATTTATATATAAATATAAAAGTTTGTACTCCGCCACCATCCCCCTTAAAGAGCAAGGTTTTCCAACCTTGCCCTTTAAACTTCTCCAAGGGGACCCGCCTCTGAAGGGCTCCAACTCTCCATATGGTAAGTGCATGTTCAAGGTATACAGTTTCTCATCTTTAAAATTGGAGGTGCCTTGACTGAGGAGTCCACTCACTGTTGTAGCCACTGCTGCTGCTAGTCTCTGCCGGCGCCGTGCAGTACCGAATTGGCCCTTCAGCGCAGTCCCTTCCTGACAGGGAACATGAAAAGAACAAGGAAGCAAAAAGAAGGAAGAAGAATGATGGAAGGCAAGAAGGAGACAGATGAACAAAAAAAGGAAGGATTGATTTATAATGGAATTTTCTTCTTAAAAATGCCAAATTCCATAACTCTGAACCTAAACACTTATCTTATCCTACATCTATTACATGTGTGAAGAAAGGAAAGTAATTTTCTTCCCTCAGGTAAGATAATTAAACTGAATGAAATTGTATTGCTTGTTGTCTGGCCAATTAGGGGAGTAGGTAAACAAATTATCACATCTAGCTATAATTTAATATTGTCACTCTATGAGGAATCATCAGAATTTATCACAAGTCATAGTAGTAAAGAATATTTTGGTAGAAAAGAGCTTGTTTTGTTTTGTCACTGAATCATATGCAATAGAAATTCAGAATATTTGTTTTGCAGCTTTCTCAGTACCATCTGACTGTGGTCAACTATGGTTTATTTCTAATCTTTTATCATGAAAATAATTTTAAAAAGTAGGTATGGGATGAAAAGACAACAAAAAACTAAGAATGTGATAGTCAGATGATTTATTTTGTATTTCTAATACAATCACCTGGAATGCTGCTTTATACTGCTTTATACTTTACAGGATGGCTATAAGAAAAGGGCCAAAAAGCTAAGATAGCAGCCGCTACCATGCAATTGAGGCACTGACCTTTTTACATGTATCATAAGGATTTTGAGTATATGATCGTGGCAGCCATTAAGACTTTTTGACCTCTCTGCAGACTTCCTGCAAGTCAGCTAGACAAAATAAGCTCATATTTTAAGTTTTTCCAAGCTGGCTATTTTCTGCAATCAACCTTCTGTAGATTTTTGCATTATTAACCTGTCTGTCCATTTCCTTTCAAAACTATTGTGCATCCTCCATCCCCAAATAACACCAAACATTAAATAACTATCTGTATGTTTCATTGACCAAAGGAGTGATGACTATCTTTAAATATTTCATCTAAGATCTACTGTAAAATTACCATTCCTCAGCATGCAGCATGCAGCAGTTTTGCAGGATTACAACCAATTCTTTTTAAAAGTCACACTACAACTTAGTACATCCAACTGATAATAAGTAAAACACATAACATATTCCTACTTGGATAGGAATGTTTCCTCTCTGCCTTTGAAGCTTGTTCAAGTCAATTACACTTTTTTCAATCCAGAAAACGGGAGTAAGATTTAAGGTTGCACAAATCTTTGCTACATTCCTTCTGCACCATTCTTTCACTTTATTCCTGGACTATATGTTAATATGAAGCAAACAGATTTCTATACCTATGTTGGATGTTTCCCTTCAGCATCTCTTGCCTCTGCAGCTCTATCCCTCTAGGTCCTTAACAATAAGCCATTGCTTAAGTGAAGTAGAGTAGAGTAAAGAATCAGAAATAACTGGTGGAGATTGTGAGAAAACTCTCGATACAGCTAAAACTGATATTGAGTACAGTTCGTACTATATTTTAGGTAATGAGAACAGAAATTGGGAACAGAAAAGAGAGAAAAGATTCACTTCCATTTTATACCAGATACGATTTATACAGATGCTTAGTTATATCTAGGAACCTTTCTATTATGAGCCACCGCAGTCTATTACAAAAGGAGAATTTTGGAATTCTTTTTTTTTTAGAAATCCATATCCAAAAATAACTGCATGAGCTTCTAATATATTTTTCCTATTTCAAACGGTTTTCATAATTTAGCAACAATTTAAATTGTTGCATTAAAATAAAAACAATAGTAAATAAATTAAAGGTAAAGGTAAAAGTTTCTCCACTTGTGTCTGATTCTAGGGGGCTGTGCTCATCTCCAATTCTCAGCTGAGAGAGTCAGTGCTGTCCAAAGACATTTCCATGGTCATGTGGCCAGCATGACTATATGCCAAAGCGCATTGAACGCTGTTATCTTCCCATCAAAATGATTAATATTAATCTATTCACATTTGCATGCTTTCGAATTGCTAGGTCAGCAGGAACTGGAGCAAGGACAGGAAGGAGCTCACTCTGTTCTGCAGCATTGGGGTCTTAAGCCCTGGCTGTCAGATTTTTCAGCTGACCAGCTCAGTCTTTAACCACTAACCCAACATACCACCAGTCAATAAATTATTATTATTAAACCAGAACAGTCTTCAAAATTAATATATTACAAATGTATTTATTTTAGCACATGGCACATCATACATGGACTAGCAATATATATTAACATTTCATCTAGATTAGCAAAACCCAATAAAATATAAATGTTAAAAAGATCTACGTTCAAATATCAGTGTCTAGGTAATACAACCACTGAAGCGCAGCATTGTTTATATTTTAAAAAATCAGATACTGGACTGGTTTATGTTGTCAGCTTACAGGAAGTCACGATGTGATCTATAGTTTGACATGGGACCCCTTAGTCAAACTAAGAGGAGGATACTCTACCACAGGGGTGTCAAACTCAATTTCATTGAGGGCCAGGGGGGAGAGTTGAGTGTGGTCAGCTCAAGGTCACCTGTGTAATCAAATGCCATTTTTGCTAGTAGTTTGTTTTGCTAGCAATCTCCCAGCAAAAACGGAGCTTATGAGGGTCACTCCTGGGCTCAGTTTTTGGCTGCAATGGCCTCCTGCAGCCCTCTGCAAGAGAAAACGGAGCTCTGTTATTTCCCTCACCAGCTCCATTTCACTGGCAGAGGCACCGCAGGCCAGTACTTTGCTGTTTCCCAGGTGGCCCCACGGGCCAGATCTAAGTACCCCATGGACTGGATCTGGCCCACGGGCCTTGAATTTGACATGCCTGCTCTACCATATTTATACAGAGCACACCTCTACATTAGAAATAGAGGCTTTTAGACCAATCCTCATTAATCCCATCTATATCACTAAAGTATCAATTTACATAAAAATACAAAGTTTTAGAATCCTGCACATTTATTTCTTTTTTCTTCTTTAATTTTGGTGACTTGATAGAAAAACAATCCTTTAGACTGTTGTTGACTGTTAATCTAAAATCTTTCCATGTAATTTGTAAAAAAAAAATCACATTAATTCTGAAATGTGCAAATTCTATAGGCCTCTCAATTATACTTTCTATGTGGAAAATTAAGATAAAGAGGTCGTAAAGCAATCTAAACAGAATTTTTGAAAGCATGGAATAATTTTAGAAAAATCCCTTTGAAATTTCTGCTATAAAAAACAGCTCCATCACTAAGGTTCTGCACTTAGGCAAGAAAAACCAAATACACAGCTATAGAATAGGTAGTAGCAACAGCACTTTACAACCTTCAAAAGTGTTGTACAGAGTCAGCATATTGCCCTCAACAATTTGGGTCTTCATTTTACTGACCTCAAAAGGATGAAAGGCTCAGTCAATCCTGAGCTGGTGAGAATCGAACTGCCAAACTGCTGGTAGCCGGCAGTCAGCAGAAATAGACTGCAATACTACATTCCAACTACGGCACCACTACCAGTACCTAGCTCAATAGTAGTAATTGTTGGGAAGGATCTGGCAAACCATTACATAAGTATGTGCCACCAGCTGCCAAAAAAGTCAATGCAGTCCAAGACTGCATCAACAGAGGAACAACATCAAGATCATGAGAAGTAAAAGTCTAAATTTAGCATTTTTTACACAAGACATTAACTGAGATATATAACAAAACCACTGCTTTGTAAACATTTCATGCAAAGCATACCACAAACACAAAGATTGTTTGAAGACAGTGCTATATTCTCCATATGTTTAAAAAAAACCCTTCTGCAATGCATTTTACTTATTACCAAAACATAATTCAAGGAGAAAATGAAATATTTTATATGCAGTCTTAATTTCCCTTCTTATCTGACTATCTGTACACCAATTACCACTTTATTGGCAAATAGTCAGATGTAAGAAGGTACCTTTTTCCAATTGATTTTGGGGAAAGACATAGCAGGTTGTCTCCAAGCTAGAGACCAAAACTAATTCCAGCTTGAAGACAAATATTTTAAACAGAATCTTTTATTGCAAAACTCCAATGTATAGTGTGGTTCAGGGTAACAACATGTTCTCTCCCACTTCTAACTTCAGAAAGAATACAGTGAAAGTCATGATTCCTTTTTTTTCCCTAGGAAGAAAAAAAATTCAATTTATCCTGTACACTTATAACAACTGTCGTAGCGCTATCCCCGAAAGGGCCGCTGGAGTCCAGGTTCTCTTGGCTCTCTTGATAGGGCTGCCGGTCCACACTGGACCCTCACTCTGGCACCTCTACTGGCCTGGGTCAGGTAGAGTTATGGTGGTCAATCTCCTCTCTCCCACTTTTGTATAGCCTGCTGGGGTCTCCTCTGCTCATTCCTATATTCCTCAGGCTTGCCCCACAGAAGCCTCTCGTATCCTCTCCTCCTTCTCTCCCTCAGGCTTGCCCCACAGAAGCCTCTCGTATCCTCCCTACTGCCTTCATCTCCTCTTGCTTTCCCCAGACCTCTTTCTCCATTTCCCCCTTAGGCCTCTTTTCCTATCCTCTCAGGCCTCCTTTTCCCAGGCATCCCTTCCTATCCTCACCATCTGGCTCCTCCCCCCCCCCACAAAAAAACCTCTCCTTCCTCCTCTCACATTCCCTCTATCTCCTCTTCTTCCTACCAAAAAACCTCCTCCTCTTATTCTCTTCCTCTCCCCCACTACACCTATATTATTTGTCTAAGTAGAAACTACTTATTTTCAAGCTTGCAATACTCTCTTTGTTAAAGTAATGTCTTTTTTTAAAAAATTGTGAAAATATTCTACTTCACTCATAAAAGAAATGTTTATAAAGTTGTTAGAGTGAATTCTTCCATAAATAATAGATTCCATCTTGCCATTTTTGCTATCAGGATAGTATCATAGTATCAGCATACTGTTGACATTTTTCCTCCAATTTTAAAATCATGACATACTTCAACCCAGCTTCTCTTATTATATATTCAGCATACACTTTGAATAAATAAGGGGAAAGTGCATGTTCGCCAATCTTGAGACAGACTGTTTCACCATGTTCTTTCTGCACCATGGCTTCCAGATCTGTATATAAGTTTTTCATAAACACATAAAGTAATAATCTTCTTTAGTTTGATTTCCACTTGTCTATTCCCACTGTTTTTGTAAAGTCAGTCAATGATTCTCATGAAGATCTTCCCAATGACTGGTAAAAGTTCTAGGTCTCAGTGGCTTTTGCACATGCAACTACTGCCATTTTCCAAAGTAGCTATTTTAATTGCTCATTTCCATGCAATGGAAACCTCCTGTGACAAATAATGGGAAATAGTGATGTAGTCATGGAATTACATTTTCTCTGAATATCTTGGCTCTAATTCCATTCACTCCAGACATTTTACCATTTTTCAACAGATTTAATGCTATTTTTATTTCATTAAATCCAGCATCCAAGATCTGATTTTGTGGTGCTTCAATGAGCAATACTGGTATCCTGCAAAACCTCGTGTTTGTATAGATGATGGAAAAATTATCTCATCTTTGAAATTGTTCATTTCAAAACTCTACAGATGTCCCATCTCATATATACATCACTGACTTTTCACTACTTGTTGATTTTTCCTCCTACATTAAGGCATCCAGGAAAATAAAACTTTGGGCATCTATGCAAGGATAGTATCTGATATAATATCGCTTTTGAGTAGATAAACCTTGCACACTGGTGCTGTATGTAACTGTTCTGTAAGTATGGCGATTAAATGTGATTTCCCAAAATATATTCACACACAAAATAGACACATATACTCAACATGTAACTTATGATAGTGTCTTATAACAAATAATCATGTAGCTTCTGCACAATCTATTTAGGTCTATCTCTTTCTTTTTTCTTCATTTAATAAGCCTTTATGCTCATAGGAGAAAAGATATGGTTACCAGATCAAGGCTGTAAAATCCAAAGAACCACTAGATGGAAATATTTTTTTCTATGGTTATCTGCTACTTTCCAGCGGCCCTCTGGATTTCTGCAATGAGATCTAACAGTTCTAAGAAAGGACAAATAATTACAAAAATAATTTGAGCAGCAGATCTTGACCTTAAATTTTTTAAAAAAGCTATCAACAATTAAATATTCAAATTCAAGTTAATTTTATGTTTTTATTATTTTTAACAAATACTTAACCAAACCATAGTTAAAACAGTACCTGAAGCTGTATTTTAGCATCTTTGCTCACACTTTTTGTTCTCCATCTTCTGGTGACACGCTTGTCTTTCTTATCTACACTGTTAGCCTATGTTATAAAATAATCAAAGTAGTAAAGCATTGGGTTAAAGCTGACAAAGCTGACATGGACAATACTGCAAAAGTTAGTAACAAACATCGAGCATTAGTTGTCTGCCAAACATAAGCAAAGTGTTATTCTATATATTATGGTACAGATAAAGCAAACATGCTATTAAAGACCGTTTCAAAAATAAAAACTGCAGGACAATTCTTCAACCATTTACAATAAAGAATTCTTTCTAAAATTTGCTAGCTAGGATAATTCCGTTTTTCTTTTCAGAATAGTCCTTAATACAAAGAACACAGAACAAAACGGCAACCAAATATTAAATTTAGAACAAAGTATGCAATTTAGGCTTAAAAATTATTTCAGTTGACGCTCATTAGAGAACCTGACTCTAATAATGAATAATTCTGCACCACCTTGTGTCATACTAGAAGTTCATATACTGACAATGATATGGCTGTTAGCAGAGAATGTTCATACAGAGAATATTTCAAATGCAAAATAGATAGTATAAGCAAGCATTATTTTAATAATTTTAAAAATAAATTTTATTTACCTGCATATCTGTGAAGCTAGGTGCTGATTGAGTTCTCTGAAGTATTTCTAAGTTCTGAAGAATTTTACTGAGTTTTACAAGATTCGATTGACAATGTGCGAGATCTGACCAAAAAAAAAAGATTTAGAACAAAAACTAACTTCGATTAAGATGGAGGAACGCAAGAGGACTTAACTGAAATGATGATATCTGAAACCCCCATTCCCCACTAACATTTCAGAAACAAAAAGTTCACACGCTACAAATCCATAAAGTTCATGCCACATTATGCTAACAGATTTTGGGTTCCCTTCTCTATTCCACACAGCTGTTGAAATTTTTTCCTTGCATGTCCCCAAACCTTCTCAGAATTATCTTCACAGACTGGTAGATATCATGATAGGAATTTATTCCATATGTAGAATAAAACAATTTATGTGCTGACGGGAAGACACATTGAAAAAACTGCCTAAACACAGAGTTTTAGGAAGGTTTTTATTCTTTGATTCTTCTATCATTAAATTGTATTTCAAGGCAAACAATGGGAACATCCTAAAATTCATTCTGGACTATCTTTAATCCCTACAAATATTACTTCTGAGTTAAATGATAACTATTTAAAAAATGTTAAAGGATACATTGAAGTAGAAAGTATAAACTAGGTTGTTACCAGTATTACCTATAATATATAGGAACTACAGAATTTTCAGCTCTATAGCTGAAATAGAATATACTGTATATTACATAGGAAATATTTGTTAAGTAGAAGTGGAGTACTTTTAACTATAAAATATACTAACATTAGGAACGACTTTTGATTAGTCCTGAAAATCTGAATGTTGATGGTTCTTGGAAAAAATGGCATGTAATTAAAAAGAGGTGGCTTCATTTTAAGCACAGCCGAAGGAGAATTCTTATGTATTTTTTGCAATATAACATACAATAAGGACATTTCATTTCCACCATAGCTTCAAGTTATGTTCGCCTTGTAGCTCTATCAGTAGCAGTGAAGATTAAAGGAAGGCAGTGCTGACCTTCTGCACACTTGTCCATCTCCTCTGATTCTTGCAACCAAGCAACTACTTTACTCTGGCCAGAAGTACACGTTTCAGGTAGACTGCTACTGCAAGGGATAGACGGTTGCCAGGGGAAATTATTCTGTGAGACCTAAAGAAAGATATAGCCACATATATGCATATACCTGTGAGAATTCTGGGAGAAAAACTGCCTGTGATAAAAAATAAAGTGGTAATTGTTATTCTCTTCTTTAAAAACTGACGCATGTATGTATCTGACACTCTAGTCTAAATTAAACTTAATAACAAATATTTCAGTAAATGTGGTAGAGGTTGTCCTCAACTTATGACAATTCAGCCTAAAATTTATATTGCTAAATGAGGAATTTGTTAAGTGAGTTTTGCCCCACTTTTGTTAAGTGAGTCACTGCAGTTGTAAAATTAGTAATATGGTTGTTAAGTGAATCTGGTTTTCCCATTGATTTTGCTTGGCAGAAGGTTGCAAAAGGTGATCACATGATCCTGGGACAGTGCAACCGTCACAAATGTGAATCAGTTGTCAAGCATTGGAATGTAAATCTCATGACCATGGGAAATGGTCACTAAATGAACTGTTAGAAGTCGAGGACTACTGTACAGTATAGATTCCTTTGTCGAGTATGTTCTTTTCGATGTTAGTGTTACTCATATATAAAGGCATCCATTTTCATTTGCATCCATAAAGGAGAAAAATGAGTGAATAGCACTGTTATATATTATAAAACAACTATATATGAAATGAAGGATGGTATTCTTCCTGACCAAAAAAGATTATACCTTAGTTTCCAGCACTGTGGCATTAGTAGCTGGTGAAGATTCAGTGGTGGAAGTTGAAGGGAATATGTGGAAACTGGCATCCCGTGGCGATCGCACAATTTCATTCTGACGATATAATCTATGATGGCGCAACTTTGACACCCAAGCATCAAATGAATCCTGGGATTTTACCTAATTAAAAGATCAGTGTGAGTGAGGAATCCAACAATAGTATTTAATCTTCCTTTTACAGCAAAATTTGAAAATAAAAATTAGTAGAAATACTCCTTACTTTTAAATGGTAGATATGTTCCTCGGTGTCAAGATCTATCCTACGTGCTTTCTTTTTAATTGACATAACCGATAACCCCACATCTATGCTCCCATGAACCTTCCCTTTCTGAGTCTGAAAAATAAAGAAACAAGAGTAAATGTATGCACATTAGGAAATAAAAGGCAAAATTGATAATTTATCGCTGTTGAGAATGGACGGACAGATTTCTGGGATATAATGCAAGGGTACATAAAATAGCAAAAATAAGGAAAAGTTGAGAAGACATTATCACATGCTGCTTATCAGGACAGGATTATTACGTAAAAAGCGCACTGCTTTTTCTTCCACACATACATATCAACATTTCGCAGGTTGCATAAACTACATATACATACAGGCAAAAATTACACCTCTAATTTAAATGACATTTCTATGACAGCTACTTTCATTACTAAATAAATAAATTCAGATTAACACTGACTCATCTATGTAATAATACATGGCCCAAGGGCTAATCAATAAAGACTTATTATTATTATCTATGTAATAGTAAAAGCTATGATGATAAAAGATGGCTAATATAACTCTGACAAGATGCATCATTCAAATGCAAATACTATGTCTGTAAAGTTCAAGTTATACTGATATACAATAATAGAGAGTTTAATAAAGAATAATAGAGAAAATTTGTACTTGAATACATTCCAAAATAGGCCCGAGGGCTTAAACTACAAAAATAAGCCTATTAAGTTCTATTTCTCATCCATTATACACATGATATTTCAGAAATAACTGAAAATAATGTTACTTAAATAGTTAACTCTTCCTCTGAACAAAATATCGACATGTTCTGAATCAATTTTCCCTTTCCATGATTACACACAAAAGGAAAACTAATTATAATTAAGATTGCTTTTGTGTTTTCGAGCATTTTGTGCATAAACTCTTGCTTTATAAAATAAGTAACAAAATGTACTTAATTCGAACAAATAACAAAATAAATTCATCTAAAATATTGTAGGCCTTGTTTGTTTTATACTGCTGCTTTTTAACAGGGATCTTTTAAGTTGCTAGATTACATAGTTTCAGCAGTTAATCATTTATTATTCTAATGTTTTTCTTAACGATGCTAGATTTTTCCAATGTTTATGTAATTATTGACTTGTATTATTATGGCAAAATAATTGTTTTATGGTCTATAATCGCCTTATAATTAAAATAAAACAAAGTTACAATTTAAAATCTCTAAGCACTACTTATTAGTATGGTAAACCCTTGATTTACCGATCTTAATTAAAAATTGGTTCATGAAAGCAATGGAGAAAATTCATTTACTGTTTATGCATCCCTTTTGCCATTTAATGGACATTCAGATCTAACAATCATCCCTTCCCCTCTATTGTTCTGTGAAATTGAGGTTTTGATACATTTTGTAGTCCACTGAGCAGCAAATGACACATAAGAGAATTTCCAAGGCACTTGACCTACAAGGACACAGGTATTGCATAATAGGTACACTGGTTATATCAATCAAATAATATTGCAAAAATATTGATCTGACCAAAGTAAAGTTTCAAAGTAGTAGCATTAAGGCAAGAAGCTGGTGTGCTTTCGGTGTTAAATCTTAGTAATTTAAGAGCCAGAGGGTGGAATTTGCTGGCTCCTTATAAACAGGAGTCTGCCCTGTCAATCTTAGTTGGGGTGTGCTTTCTTCCTTGATGTAGGGAGAAACCACAGGAATGAGATTTCATCTCTAGGTGATGAAATAACTGCTGGAAAACAATCAAGCTCAGAGACACTAAAAACCCAGCAGGTTAAAAAGTATCTAATTTCCACAAACAAAATCTGGCAAATTATAAAACTGAAAAATTCAGAATGTTTATGATAAACTCCTGAGGATTCAGGAGGACTCCTGAGGAGAAAAAGGGGAACTGAATGGCAGGATTTACATCTTTTCTCTGCAGTACAGGAATGTCTGCATCACTACTGGAACTAAGTATCCAAATAATATGTAACATTTTTTTAAAGGCCCCAGGGTTACTTACATCAATTGGTGACTTTGAATATTTCAACATTCCATTGTCCAGAACAAAAAAGCGCTGCAGGGGAAAAACGTAGGAGATCACAATGCAATGGAGACCATATAAAACTATTAATGAAGACATAAACACACTGCATGCAGCAATAAACATCATTAGAAATGAAGGGCCAGGATAGGAACAGATTTTCCTAGCTATGTGTTTGGTCCACACCAGCTTGATGGAACATAATCAATCAAGCAATCCTAAAGCTAAATCACTGAAGTTGCTTTATGAATTGAACTATGGTATATGTCAATACAACCCATCACTTTTTTTTTAATAAATAGCTCACAGGATCATAGAGAAACAAAATATTTTCAGAATGGGTAAGAACAGGACCTATGTAGTCCTACTGAATAAGCAGCACTGACGTCCCCAGAGCAGAGAAAGGAAGGATCTATCGGTCCTTCAAACTAGTCTAGACAAGAAGCCCAAAACAATTCTAACACTACGGTTATTGTAAGATTATAGAAATAAAATCTCGCAAGTCTGAAAGCACCTCTCACATAGTTTTATTTATTTTTTCTAGAAAACTAGGGAGGGTGCCTTCTGAGATGCTTCCTACCCTCTTTTCCCCCCTCTGGACTGAGGTACTTTGGCATGACAGTTATCAAGTCTGCAGCTCTTTGCTTGCTTTCCAAGGTCATTCCAATAGACCATGACAGAATCAGACTGATATAAGCAGAACTGCAGCATTTGATGCAAACCCTGCCCTTCTCTATGTGCATTGTGATGTAACAAGGATATCTTTAAAAAAAAAGAGCAGAGCTCCAGATGCAATACTGCTCTCATCATTCTGACAAAAGTAGCAAGATTCTGCGGCTTGTAAGGGCGTGGCTGAATTTCTGAAAATGACTCTGCTTTATTTGACAGAATTGAATCAAGGCATGCACGGGGCAATTCCAATAACCCTACTGAATTACTGCATCTGAAAGCTTGACTAGAATTGAGTTCCTGAAGGCTAGGGTCTTTTTTTTTTTTTTAATAAAGTTTTATTTGGGTTTTCACACGTACAAGTAAAACATCTTTTTTGAAAATAGCATGGTCCCGGGTTGAACTTCTTTATACAGACACAAATCTCAATTTCATGCTCCTTTTTGTGTTCTATTCCATATCTTATACTATTCTGCATTTTCTATATAGTTTTTCCCCTCTTTTAATTTTCTCAATTTTATTTTGATTGTCTCATCTCAATTCAAATCATTATAGTTATACTTTTGTCTGTTCTGTTTCAATTTCATATTATCTTTTCTCATTAAACAACTTTTCTGCTGTAATTACTAATTGGAGTATGACACCTTTATATCTTTTAATTACATCCATCCAACTCTTATTTAAACTTCAATATATACCTTAAGGTTATGACCTTCAATATAATACATAATACATAACTTCCAATTGAATTCTGCTTGGTACATTCTTATAATTCACACTATATTCTTTTTAAAAAAGATTATAAATATATGTAATTATAAACCCTCATTCCATTCCAATTCAGTTCTATCATTAATAATCATTAAAATCTTAACATCTTTAACAGTTCTTTTCAATTAAATATCATACTTCCTTAAAGACACATATAATCTCCATAATTAATTTTTCCCTTATTTCTCTTCACATGTTTTGTAAATCATTAAATATTCATTTTGTTACATTTGTTTATTGACAAACATTCCACTGAATTACAATAGCTATTTTATCAAACATTTTAATCATACATTGTTTCATATTTTCTAAAATTATTTCTGTTTCTAATATAACAATACTATCTTATGTACCTTTGCAGAATCCCTTTTTCCATTAAATTTTCACCCATTATCTCTAAATAGGCTGTTTCTCTATATTTTGTTTCTGTCATTTTTAACTTCTTTACCTTTCTTTCTTCCCTCTCATCTTCTCCCTCCCCTTTTTATCCCCTTGTCTCTCTACTTCTAATTCTCTCTTCTGCATTTCCTTCTTCTGTTGCTTTCTAATTTTATACTTATTTTTCACTCTATTTTTTTTTGGGGGGGGGGTGTTTTTCCCAATCTTAAACTTTCCATTCTCTTTCCCCCCCTTTCCTTTTTTTCCCCCAACTAAGATTACTTGTTCATTAAAGATGGCTTCTTCTTTGTCGCAATCTTCTTGTTCTGCAGGCATTTCTTGTTGTTTCTCATAGTTCCAAATCTCCATAAAAACTGAAATACGAAGACAAAAAAACCTCTCCCTTCTTGTGCATCTTCTTTGTATTTTTTAAGTTCCATTTTCAGTTCTTCTAAAAGTGGAGCCATTTTAAACAGTTTTAAACAACCACCCGATTGATTTTAGTCATTCAAATACAATAACCAAAAATCCAGAAATCATCAAGTAATCCAAATAGTCCCAAGTTATTTCTTCTTATTTCTTTTTCCACTTTCTCTTCCTGGGGCTTTTGTTGTGATATTTCAGTTAAAATGTATCTTTTGGAAGTCTTGTTGAGATTTTGCTGTAAGTTCTTTTTAATTCCAGGCAGTCTCCTCCCTTCCAGATCCTGCCCTTTTATTCTTTTTCTCTCCCTTCCTGTTTTCAAAAGCTTTTGATTATCCAGAAATCTTTATTATCCCTTTGACTTTTTATTTTCAGCATTAAATGCCTATTAATGTCAAAGTGGATTTTTTTCCAATTTCTCTTAGCTGTCAGTATAGGAAAAGGAGAAAAAAAAACCAAATCTTTTCCCTTTTCTCTCTCCTTTGCAGCTTAAAAATCTTCTTAGGGAACAATGTTATTGTTTTTTTAATAGTTTCAATTCCAGGGCACCTTATTTGTTGCTTTTGCTGTTTGACCCAGTCCACCAAAACTTTCTCTTCTTATCTTCCTCCTGCGCATTCTTTTCCGGTCGAGTTTTTCTTTGTGGTGGCCATTTCTGACCACCGCTACAACCGCCTTCGGGAAAGGGAGTAATAGCCAGCTGGAGAGAAGAGATGTGGCTCTCCTCAACCCTGCAGGCAGTCTCCCCCTTCTTCACCACCTCTACGGGGTGGCTTAGCCCCGAAACCAGCCGGCTCGGGGTGCTCCAGCAGCGAGCACAGATCGAAGCCTCGCAGAGATGAGGTTTCGGTCTGTCGCCGAAGAAGCTCAAACCGGAAGTCTGAAGGCTAGGGTCTTAAGCAACTTTACTTAGCAGAAGACTAATGATTTCCTGCAAGTCTTTACATTTGGGATCAGAATTAAAAGACACAAAAGTCTGATAAGTCAAATTGATACACTTTTTATAAGAACCATTCCTGTCAAATGCTTCTCCAATCTCAGAGAAACTCTAACTTTTTAAAACACCTAAAATTTACCCAGTTTCTTACATAATACTCAAGGATTTCTGTATCATCACTTCATTTAATAATTGTGATGGAGTCTGAACAATTACTTTTTACAATAATCAAACCAACATTCGATCAGACAGACAGATATTAAGTTTTAAGAATAGTAAGAACTAATACAAACTAAAAGGAAACAATAAAGAAGAGATAAAAGAAAAAGCAAAACAAAAACAAAAAAGTAAGAAGATAAAGAAAAAAAAAAGGAAAATAGAAAAAAGAAAATATTAAGATCCAATCGTCTTCTCAGCAGATATAAGTACAATTATATTTTAACCTCTCTTTCTAAGATTTCATCATTACTGTCTTCTTTCTATAGTCTATCCTTTCTAATCATCCAAACCATAAATCACAAGTTCATAAGGGATTTCCAGTTACCACTAAATGTAGATACTGTTTTTTTTTCCTCCAATCAAATGTCAATTTAACCATTGGATTTGGTATTTTCTATTCCATACCAGAAATACATTTTACTCTGAATCACATATATCTTCATACAGAGACTACAATTAATATTTCACAGTCCACCTTATCTCTCGCTTTGTGTGTCTGTGTGTCTATAATTTAATAATACACATATATACTGAGGCAATTAAACTTCTGCAAAGGGCATATGATCACATGACAACTGATTGTTTCTAGCCCTACGAGAAACCGAGGAAGGTTTAATCATGTTCCCTTGAATGCTGATAAGAATTTAATATTTTATATGAGTGTAAAACAAAGAAAGAAGTGAAAGCCTCCTTCAGATTCTGTCATTCAGCTCAAGGTCAGGGACTTAAGAGGGAGGCATGGTTCAACAACTGCTAGTCAGTTTCTGAACAGAGTTCAATTTCCTACAGTTCATGATGAATTTTGTGTAATAATTGAAAATAACGGCACTTGACATGTTTTACACATATTTTACCTTGTGCCAGCCTTTTAAAGGCCATTTCCTTTTCTTCAGCATGAATCCTTCATGTTTGTCTGGCTTCTGGACATTAGTCTGGCCAATTTTCAAGCCTTCTATAATTTCCCAGCTGTCTGGCTCCTGAATAAAGGTGGGGAGAAGAGAAGGGAACAGAATCAAATAGATCAAAATTGCCTATTATTCAAGCTGTTTTGGCAACCCAGACAGTATACATTTGCATAAAATCTATCCCGCTGAATTCAATAAGACTGCCTTTAGTTAGCAAATAAATAAGAAACCTGCTATTACATAAACCACATTGAGAAGAACATTCCAGAAGTATATGCTAAGAAAATTACTAAAGGAATTCAGATTAAACTAAATACCCCTAGGAGGTGCCAATTTGGACAGCATCTCATTCCATTCATAATTAGTTGTGGCTAAATTCTCCATAGTTCTATTTGGGCTTAATTCTTTTCCCAAAAAAATGTTTGGAAGAAACCTGGATGGTATGCACATATCTGAAGTTGTAGCAAGCAAACATGATATCCATTTGCAAATGATGTACCTAGCATAAATGCTGGGTACATCAAGGCACAATTATTCTAGGAGCAATATTTCAAATTGTAACCATGTTCTTTGATTTGAAACAAATGATGAGGGCTGATCCGAAGCATTCTGCTTAATAATAACTATCAAAATCACACTACTCATCATGTTCAATCCCTTAAGTTTTTATAATAGAATAGAAACTTGTAAACAGCACTTTTATGCATTACTGATGTAGAATACATTAAAGAATTGTGTTATGCTGAATTCAGTCTTCAGAAAAAGGTATTTCATTATATACCTTGCAGTATTTATATACAAAATTATTCTCAAAATATCATGCAGGTAGTCCTCAACTAACAACCACAATTGAGCCCAGTATTTCTGTTGTTAAGTGAGGCATTTGTTAAGTGAGTTTTGCCCCATTTTACAACCTTTCTTGACACATTTGTTAAGTGAATCACTGCAGTTGTTAAATTAGTAACACAACTGCTAAGTGAATCTGGCTTCCCCTATTGACTTTGATCATGTGAACCCAGGACAATGCAATCATCATAAATATGAGTCAGTTGCCAAGTGTCTGAATTTTGATCATGTGACCATGGGGATGCTGCAAGGTCGTAAATGTGAAAAACAGTCGTAAGTCACTTTTTTCAGTGCCACTGTAACTTCCAAGCAATTGAAGCAATCAATTAACTCACCGAGGATCTGAGCTGAAAAGGATGAAGCCAGACATGGTTCCAATCAGGGTTCTCACTTAATGATTGGATTATGTTAATGACAGCAACAGGGACTGCCATCACTTAGAAATGTGGTCACATGACATCATGCTTAATGACCTGTTTAATAATCAGGCACCAATTATCATTGTAATTCAAGGGCGACCTGCATGCTTCTTGTAGTTTGCTTAGTTTCGTATGATTCACCTTTGTTCTTTTGCCAGGAAGAAAATGCACTGATAGTAGTCATTGGTTGACTAGTGCCAGAATGTACGACAACAGATGTACTATGTTTTCATTATATGTAGCACAGATATTTTTTATTATTTCATTCAACTACTAGAACAACTTTTAATTTTAAAAAGCTGTTTCTTAATCCAATCTTTCTTCCTCGTAATGCAGGTGAGAAACACATGTTTCAAGAAGCTGTAGGATAGTTTATCCTTAGTTTTCTCCAAAAATTCACACTTTCAATATAGGGCTGAGCAACCTCTGTTAGACCTCTACAGTTATGAAATCCAGCAATTATGATTCAAGGTGGGGAAGATGGAGAGGATGGAAAGGATACAAGTAGTCCTCGAATTAGGACCACAACTAGGCCCAAAATTTCTTATTTTACAACTCTTCTTCCAACAATTGCAAAGTGAATCATTACAGTTGTTATGTTAGTAACACAGTTGTTTAAGTGAATCTGGCTTCTCTGTTGACTTTGCTTGTTAGAAAGTTATAAAAGGTGATCCCATGATCACAGGACATTGCAACCATCATAAATATGACCAGTTGCTCAATAGTCCAAATTTTAATTACATACTCTTTTTTTCCAGTGCCATTGTAACTTTGAATAGTCACAACTGTTGCAAGAGGACTATCTGTATTAGATTCCTTAGGCACATGCAAGATCCATTACAAAATAAAAGTCCTTCAATTGAAAAAATAACTATTTTGAAAAAATACTTTATAAACATAAACTATTTATATGCATGAAATGCAATCCAGAAAATACTCTTAAGTTCTTTTAATATTTTTTTTAAATGTCTGTATTCTTTAAGCAAAATCTGAATCATTCACATTTATCATGAATCCTAGGATTACGATTTTTGAAGAAATGGAAGATTACCTAGAAATGCCCTCAAAACAGACCTTAATGCAAGCACTTCAGTGCTTCAGTGCTTTGAGGAGTGGCACTTGGCTTATAGTATTGCTGCAATCAAATGATTTGCCTAGTCTTATTGAGCACTTCCAATTATTAAATACGTTCTGCAGCTATCTACTTATGCAGGGACCAAGATTTACTTACTTTAGATACAGCGATTGGTTCATTCTCTAACAACTGTTTCCCAATAATTAAGTCTGTGCTTCCAACAGAAGCATTTCGCTCTAACACATGACCACTCTAAAACACAAAGAAAAGACTGGAGTAAATTTTTGTCATAGAAAATACTTAGTTCTCATACATAAGTAAGATGCTTTGAGGGAATGGAAACACACTGTGTTGACACAAACAGATATCGTATCATTCCCCCTGTTTATAATTTCAAAATATTTTAATATTAAACCACAGAAATGTCTTATAGTTACCCATCTGATTCAAATGGAAAGGCAAAATATACATTTATTCTAATAAACAAAATAAACAAAGTATTTTCAAATTTTAATACTGAATGTTATTTCGATCATCATCTTAACATTCAACAGTCTTTTTCTGCCAACTTAAGGTACTATAATTAACTTTTCTCCCCTAAAATTTCCAAAATTACATTGAGTTAATATAAAATGGCCTATGTACACAACTGTCTTGTCTAAAATACAACAGGGGATTATGTACATACTTTTCTTTTATAAAGTGAACATGTGTGAGACAAGAATGGATTCATCTGTAGGAATATTATAATTGGGCTGCAGAAATTCAGACCTTCACTAACAGGACAGTCAAGATGTACAGAAAAATCTGATTCTTTCCCACATCTAGTAGTTATATGGATTTTTGCTTCCAGATGTGGTAACTCTAATTATCACAGCAGATGCCACACATAGTAGAGAAGGTCCATTGCACTTCACAGATGGATACTTTAGGAAAAACTTGATGTAATATCTGAACACATTCAATGTAGACACTATAAAAATGTGAAAATTAATTAGGTCAAAGTAAGTCAAACTCTCTCTCTGCTTGGAAGATAAACATGAGTTTGATCCTGCCTTGAGTTGAGTTGAATTAAATCTGTCAAGCACAGTACTATAAAGCAGAATAAATTTATTCTTAATATATGTGTTTGAAAGTACAAAGATTTGAATATCTGACTTGCAATGTTCTGTTGAAAGTGCTTTCTTTTAAGATGACTCCCCTGTTCCTTATGAAAACATAATTTACAGAAAATTAAAAGAACAGAATATTGAAAATATCTTCTTTGGGTGCTTAATATTTGCATAAAGAAATCATGCTCAGTTAAAGCCTCTTGAGGAAACAATTACACAAATACGCAATTTGTCAAAAGAAATTTACAGAAAGTTGGCGGTTATCTAGGGGGAGGTTGACAGCAGTCTACTGGGGATACTTTAATTTGGATTTTTGCACTGAGAATATGGGCTCTATGGATTATTTGATCTCTTCCACCTGTATGATTCTAGAATTACGCTGGTTAATTAGCTTCTGCCTGTTGAATGGCACCACTGGGCACAGCCCAACTGGTTTATTTATATTCTTGATCCAGGAATATTTGTCAATATCCTACCATATATAAATCTATTTTTGGACTCATTTTAAGACAATAATGCTCTATCTATCTATCTATCTATCTATCTATCTATCTATCTATCTATCTATCTATCTATCTATCTATCTATCTATCTTTCTTTCTTAAACAGTAATGAGCCTGACAAGAGATAATAAAAGGAAAACAATCCAAGCTAACTGAGGTGTTCATTCTGATATGGTATACCATGATCTGGAGAATCTGATGTTTCTTATGTTTGGATGGAGCTACATTGCCTGTGTAAAGTTTGAGAATAATCTTGGATTTTCTGGTCTCATCTAGGTAGTATAAAATGAAACTATGGCCAAGAACACTTTCACTAGCTATATAGTACAACGATTATAGCAAATGACATCAAAATATTGTACCCGTTCATAACTTCCAGATCAGATTACAGTAATGTGCTCTACTTTATATATAGTTTAGGAATTGCAGAGTCAAAATGCAGCAACCAGAATGAAGTCTGGGGATAATAAAAAAGAATTTTATATCCTTTTCTAAGCAGTTGAACTTGTATTTTTGGAGAGGAATAAATACTGGTTATCAGTTTTAAGTGATTAAAGTTTTAATCACTTAGGCCCAGCCTTAAAGATCCATCTTTTCTTATTGGCTTTTAATAATGTTTAGTTGTCTCAAATGTTTTAATGCTTTTATTTTATATTTTATTTTAATGTAGTTAAGTGATTTACATTTTATTCTAAATACCCAAGCCATTTAGTAAGAATAATAGAAAGACAACATCAAAAGCAAAATAGATGCATCTTGAAAGCAACTGAATAGCAAGTGTGACTAATGTTTTGTGGGAGACCGAAATTTTTCCAATGACAGACTTTAAAATGATCAAATTAAATTCAAGAAATGAAAGACTAATTAACAAATGATGAATGATTATTGGAATACAATGCTATCAATTCTTCATTTTTGTAATTCATTCCTTTCTTAAACTGGAGTTAATTACCAGGGACTAATTTTGACATAACCTAGGGGTAATAAAACAATTTATAATTGCTTGTTTGTGAATCATGGATCTCATTTGGAATTGCCACTGCTGAGTCCTTATGTAAAAATAGAAACTGGCTTTTTTTGGGAGGGGTGTGTGGGTAATGACACTATTCAAGACCAGGCAAAGGAGAAATTAGTAATGCCTTAGATCACATTTTTTATAATTATTTTAAACAGTAATATTGCATATAGAATCTATTTATCTTTCATCTAAAACATATGTTTAGATTTGGAATTAATAATTAATGCCCATTTCCAAATTATGTCTGTAAGTTTTGGCTCACAAAGTCACAAAGATATATTCTCCAAAGAATGATATAACGATTTATTATCTCTTCCTTACAGACAAGCTTATAGCTCTCAAGGCATTTCTGACAGGAAAATTTCCTCAGAACAGCAATGGGTCCCTTGTGGGAAATCTTGGGAGAGGCATTCTTGGGAAGTATAATGTCAGGCATTATAGAACTAATATTTTACTTTTTACACTGGTAGCCATTACTACCAGTTATTCCAAAAAAAAAAAGAAAAAGAAAAGGATTGACCCTACCAGTACTGTTTGATCATAAGGAATCGGGGAATGGCAGCAGAGCATCTGAAGAAGGGTTGAAAATAACTCAATATTGTCAGAGATTGAATAAAAAATAAATAAACTAACAATAGAACTGAATGTATTCCAATAAGGTAGGTGGAAGAATCAGAGAGACTGAAGGGGATAAGGTCTCAAGATAGAAGTAGAAGGGATTAGGCAGACTGTATAGTAATCCAACATGAGTGGATACACTAGAATAATGTAGGATAAAGTGGTACCAGAAAATGAAGAACTAGAGAACTCACAAAGGATTTTGCCATTATTAATTCCAGCTATCTTTACCGAAACATAATTTTATCCATTGACTCACTTTTTTTCTTTTAAAGGTGAAGTAAATAAAAATACCCCAACTAACTTGCAGGATTTCTACGTCTGTAATTAAAAGAATACTCTTTCACTTACCTGCCTAGTGTCCCACTGGGAATATGATGAAGAGGAGTCAGCTTTATGTGATGGTGTGGAGGTTCTGTGAGCAGGAGATATAGCTTTCTCTTCAGAACTCATTACTGCAGCTAAATTCTATAGGTCTCCTTTCACAGATTTAACACCACATTCCGTTCAGTTTTCCATGAAAAGAGGAAGTAAAGTGATTTTCAGCATTTCTCCCAGAGCCTTTTCTTTACGTAGGCAGGTCAAATTAATGTAAAAGGCATCCAAACCAAATCTTGAAGGAGAAAGGAAAAGAGACAGTGATAGTATACTATATATTTATGAATTAGCATGAATTAAAATGTCGAAACAAAAACAGGTCTCTTAGGTTCCATCTATCAGACCTACGAAAAAACATTTAATCTCAGTAAATAAATTGCAGTTTCTAGTCTTCAGAATAATTACTACTTTTTTCAACAACATAATTTCTCCTCAAATGATATTGATTACTCTATTCCAATGATTTCCCAGGTGAGACATCATAATACCTTGCAAATGAATTGTTAAAATCTGTCTTCTCTACTCTATCCCATTTCAGCTTTATTTCTTTGGAATCACATATATTGTAAATGTATAACAAGTGTCATTCATAGAACAGGTTAGAAGTCGAATAGTTACAGTAATCATAGCATATTTATTTTCTCCACAAACACCCCATTGTTACCAACAAACAGCCATTTGCAGCATGTTCTCAATAACTTTGGAAAAAATAGACACAACTGCCTGTGAGATGTATATGTATATGTACTGTATATGTATGTATACATATATGCATATGTTTCGCCTTTATTATTTTTTGTGATAAGCACATCCAAGATGCCTTCCTCCTCCTATTTTCCACACAATAACAACAATGTGAGGAGGATTGGGCTGAGAGAGGTGACTGGCACAAAATCACCCAACTGGCTTTCATAGCTAAGGAAGGGCTTGAACTCAGTCTCCCACTTTCTAGCCTGGTGGCGCCTTAACCCACTAAACTAAACTGACTCACAGTAGCAAAATATGTATGCTATGGACCATTTTCATTTTCATCTTTACATGGTATACTATTCAATATCTATCACGGAAATACTAAGTATGCAATACTATTTTTTTCTTATATTAGCTTTGTTGTTTGCAATAAACACATGTACAAATGCCTTTGAGCCACACTTTTCTAAAAAAAAAAGCATTCAAATAGTATCTGCACTAATTTGAGAAAGATCAAAGCATTCTGCAGTTTCAATTAATTCAACCATGATTTGCTTTATTTTCACCTCCTCTTATAATCTTATATATTCAAAGTAATGTATAACAGGAGAAAATAAGAGTTAGCAACTTCACAAATTGCTATGAAAGAAATGAACAGAGATATTTGTGATAAGTCACCTCAACTCCCCAAAGAGATAGTTAATATTCTAGAAGTATTTTACAAATTTAAAAACCCTAAACAAATGAAAAAAAAATATTTTAAAAATATATGTGAAAAATACATAGTAAAATAAATACAGGCATCATATATTGCTGTTAAACGCTGCAAATGAGATGCAAAAGGAAGAACAGTTAACTGTTCTGACATATTTATGTTCTTAGTTCATATACCACAAAGTGTCTCTGACTAAGTCATATATTGGTCTCAGTTACATAGTGTTCAAATTTACTATGTCAATATTAGCATACCTCTTAAGAAGAAACACAGAAAAGTTTTCTCCAGCTTTCTATCAATAACTATACTCCTATTTTATTTCAGAATTATCCTAAGTTAAAGCTATAGACATTAAAATTCAAAAAACAAAGATTCCAAAGTATCTGGAATTATATCTCTTTTATAGCTCACCTTACCACTAAGCTTTGTCCTCCTCTCCACTTCTTTATTCACAATTATAACTTTGGAATAATCTGTATTTTCAGACTGCAAAGGATAGAAAAGTATGTCAAATAAATAAACAAAGTAGGCTTATTTTAAACCATTTTCAGAGCTATGCTCTTCAAAACTGACAGAAAATAGTAAGTTAACAGTAATAGGATGAATAAATAAATAATAAAAAACAAGACCTAAATATTATATGAAACAAATTAATAGATAAAAGATAATCAGAGTTGGAAGGGATATTGTAGGTCATCTAGTCCAACCCCCCGCCCAAGCGGGAGATCCTATACCATTTCTGACAAATGGCAGTCCAATCTCGAAAGTCTCAAGTGATGGCGCTCCCACAACTTCCGAGGGCAAGCTGATTGGTTGATTGTTTTCACTGTCAGAAAGTCTCTCCTTATTTCCAGGTTAAATCTCTCCTTGTTCAGTTTCCATCCATTATTCCTTGTCTGGCCTACAGGTGCTTTAGAAAATAACTTGACTCCTTCCTCCCTGTGGCAACCCCTCAAATATTGGAAGACTGCAATCATGTCTCTTTACTAGATTAGCCAAGCCCAGTTCCTGCAACCATTCATTGTATATTTTAGCCTCCAGTCCCCTAATCATCCTGGTTGCTCTTCTCTGTACTTTTTAGAGTCTCAACATCTTTTTTATAATGTGGTGACCAAAACTGGATGCAGTACTCTAGGTGTGGTCTTACTAAGGCTTTATAGAGTGGCATTAGTACTTCCCTTGATCTTGACTGTATCCCTTTGTTAATACAATTTAGGATTGCATTAGCTTTTTTGGTGGCGGCTGCACACTGCTGGCTCATATTTAGCTGGTTGTCCACTAAGACTCCAAGATCCCTCTCACAGTTACTGCTATTGAGCCTGGTTTCACCCAGTTTATATGTGTACTTCTGGTTTTTCTTGCCTAAGTGTAGGACTTTACTTTTCTCTATATTGAATTTCATTTTATTTGATATGGCCCAGTGTTCTAGTCTGTCAAGATCCACCTGGATCTTTAGCCTATCTTCTCGGGTGTTAGCTATTCCTGCCAGCTTAGTATCATCTGCAAATTTGGTAAGTTCCCCTTCTATTCCCTCATCTAAGTTGTTAATGAAGATATTGAAGAGTACTGGGCCTAAGACGGAACCTCGTGGCACCCCACTGCTTACTTCCCTCCATGTAGACTTAGACCTATTAAGGACTAGTTGTTGAGTACAGTTTGCCAGCCAGTTGCGAATCCATCTAGTGGTGGTGCTATCTATTCCACTTTTTTCTAGCTTACTAAGAAGTAAGTTGTGGTCTACTTTGTCGAATGCCTTGCTGAAATCTAAATATATTATGTCCACAGCATTTTGCTTGTCTACTAATTTAGTCACTGTGTTGAAGAATGAAATAAGATTGGTTTGGCATGATCTGTTTTTAACAAACCTGTGCTGACTACTAGTTATTACTTTATTTGTTTCTAGTTGTTGGCAGATCTGTTTTTTTTTAATTATCTTTTCCAGTATCTTCCCCGATATTGATGTTAGGCTGATTGGTCTATAGTTTCCTGGGTCTGTTTTTTTTTCCTTTTTTGAAGATGGGAACCACATCAGCTCTTTTCCAGTCCTCTGGTAGTTCCCCAGTGCTCCAGGGTTTTTGAAAGATATGGCGCAGTGGTTGAGATGACCTCTGCCAGCTCCTTTAAAACTCTGGGATGTAATCCATCAGGCCCCGGTGATTTGTTTTCATCAAGATCAGACAAGTGTTCTCTTACTATTTTTTTGCTTATTTTAACTTTTATTTCTGGTCTGTCTTTTACAGTTACGTTTTTGGTGGGTTGAGCTATAGTTTCTTTTTGCGTGAAGACGGATGCAAAGAATGAGTCAAGCAGTTCTGCTTTCTCTCTGTTGCCTGTTACTTCCTTGCCATCTTCTCTCTTTAGTGGACTGATTGTTTCCTTGATTTTTTTCTTGTTATTTATAAGTTGGAAGAAATTTTTTTTATTATCTTTGACTTTTGTTGCAAGTCTTTGTTCGTTCTGAGTCTTTGCTATCCTGACTTCATCTTTGCAGATTCTAGCTATCTGCTGATATTCTGCCTTAGTTGTATGTCCTTCTTTCCATTTTTTGTACTTGAACCATGATTGAATTGTCAGTTGTAAAAAGACAAAACAATAGGGGGTAAAAGAAGACAGAATATGAAAGTCAAAGGCTTATGAACAATATTTAACATTACATCTGAATGTCATAATGAAGCACTGAAATCTGCAAGTGTGGTATTGTTGAGGTTAATAGTACTGCATATGAAAGTGATTCCAATTACTGGAAGCAGTTCTTCCTTATTCATACAATCATGACTGAATCAACACTAAAATTACTGATGAACATGTAATGTAAGCGGATAAAACTGATACAGCATTAGCTTATAAATTTTATTATCCTTTCAAACTAGTATCCTTCAGTGGATTTTATTTTTATAAACAAAATCAGTTCTTTGAAAAAATGATGGCTGAGTCAAGTATTAGTCATCAGAGGTTATGGCTTTAGTTGTAATAAATAGCACAGTATACCTACCCCAAAGGGCTACAAGAACAATTCTGTTTGTACTTTTCAAGGCCACTTTCAGATGTGTTTTTAATACTTAAGTTAACTCTTTCACATATTCCAATGTTAATTCCCAATCTACCCTGCATTAGTTTCACTTCATAAATGAGAGTAAACTGAATATTTTGAGAATACAGTGCTAAATTTAGCAGTGAGTAAAGGTTTAATTTGGTTCATTGTGGAAAAATCAACCGAACAAAAATTGGTTTTCCCAAACACTGTTTTATTTTTAGCAGTGTTTTTTAAGCCATTGGGAAAACAAAATTCAGTGTTATGCAAAAAAAATTATCCGAACATGAACAAGTTGAAGAGGAGACTTAGACATGTACAGACAGTCCTCAATTTATGATCATATGTTCAGGGACCATTCAAAGTTATAGCAGCGCTGGACAACAAGTTATACTTGTTGCAGTGTCACCCACAGTCGCATGATCAAAAATTGAATGCTTGGCAGCCTCCCCAAATTTATAACCACAGGGGCACTTCAACTGCCTCCTGTCATGCCCATCGGAATCTGATTCCAAGTGGGAGGGCGAGCAGCTGACAGGGAATGCAGCTTCGTTGGCTGGGGAAGAAACTGGGGAAGGGCAAAGACTGGCTGGGCGGAGCAAGGGAGAAGAAATTCAGAGGAAGACTCAGGCCACCCCCTATTCATCCTAGGGCACACAGGGAGGAACGGAGAAGGGAGCAACGTGAGTTGCATGGCTTATGGGAGAGGAAAGGGCCCTGATTCCCTTTATTAGTTGCAGCTGGGAAAAGTGTTTAAAAAGGGAAGCTATGCACAGCAAAGTTGTTTGAAACAAATCGT